CTTGGGGTAGTTGGCCAGTTTTTAACACAGTTGTAGAAAAAAGGATCAGAGCTTCATAAGCCTTGTTTTGCCATCCCTGCTGTTAATGCTTCCTGCCTTATTACTATCATCTGAGAAGAGAGGCAGACCTCACCTCCTGTGTGTGTGTGTGTGTGTGTGTGTGTGTGTGTGTGTGTGTGTGTGTGTTCAGACAGTTTTTTTCTCTGCACTTTTAGCAACCTGTAAATAAACCTGTGTAAACTTTTTCTCAGTGTCCTATGAATGAGCTCTGCCAAATCTCTCAGGAACAGTGGTCAGATATCCAGCTAGACTTATACCAGATGGTTTTTGGTGGCTGCTAAAAGGATCTGGTTGTGTGCCACTTGCTAAGGGAATATTTAAGCCTCTGGGGTGTCCAGATCACATGAACGATGATGTATAGCAGCAAGATGCAGCCTGGTTTTCAGATGTGAGAGATTTGTGTGTTTGGAATGTACAGTTAGTTTGTTGTGTAGTAGTTTTGAACTGAATGTCACAGTTACTGCCAAAAAACTCGCAAGGGCAGATTGCACTGTAAATGATGTCTCGGAGGAGTGATGGACCTCCTGCTGTCAGGCCTGCAATGTGCTCCTCTGTTTGTGTTGCATCTTATTGCAACACCTTATTGTTCTGTAAATAGATGCACAAAAACACCTATGGTATTTTTTTTATTGAACTATACACCACTTGTTATTTCATGTATTTGTTGCATGCCCCTTTATTTATTTTCTTCTACTTAACCAATTCAGGGTCATGGAGGCTCCTCCCTATGACCACCCTGGACAGGCTCTGTGTTTTTAGCCCATCCATAACAGGGCTAAAACACAGAGACAACCATTCGTGCTCACACTCACACCTGGCTTATCTTGAATCACCCATGAACCTAACATGAATCCCTGCTAATAACAGAAAACCATTCACTTCTAAACTTTCACACTGATTGATTTCTTTTATAAAGTTATAAACTTATTTAAAAGCTACAAAAATAGAATTTTCCATTAAAATTAAGAGCTGAACTTAAATAAAGAAACTACTACTGTTAAGAATGAAAGAAAAATACTTATTACAAAAAAAGAATGAGGAATCAGGATAGACTTTTATTTTATATATAGCTTGTAGGCTAAGTGAGGAAGTAATTACATAATAGTTGATGATACAATGGCATGGCTTGGGGGTCAATAGCAGAAGTAGCAGCCTGTAGAAGGATGCCAGTTAACATCATTCAGTGCTGGTGAATAAACACGGGCTGGTCTGTATTTCTCCCTCAAGCCTCCTACTTTACTTCTTTAGAACTACTGGCCATTTAAACAACTCCTCTGTATTTGTATCAAAGCACCCGTGGTTACGTATTTATCACTGCAATGTTATTTATTGAAGGGTCTGACCCTTACATTATTAAGCATCTGTATAATTAAAATTGAATCGAATTGAACTTTTTATGGGGACCTCTAGACCCTATAAATATTATGGAAGTGTCCAATTGTTTACTTCCACTTTTCATTTTTACTTATGCCTACAATGACTAAAGCATTTCTTTAGCAGAGGCCTCACAGATGTTGATGTCAGTATTTTCATCAGGTTGTAGCCGCCATTAGTTTATCCAGAGTTTCTCATGAAGCAGCAGAGCAAAACAGTCCAAAAGCAATCATTGCCTTGATGTTGACGTTTTTAGCATATCAGGTTTGCTATGAAACAAGCAAATAAATACACTTAACATTTAATCTTTTTAAATAAATGTTAAATCAAGTTTAAAATTGAAATGATGCTATTAAAAAGGTTTTAAGGGTAAAACACGAGTGAACTGTTACAAACACAAACTCCACTGATAACCAATTAAAAATCTTTAATGGCGCTTATATATTTGACAGACATAACAAGCAACGAACACAAGCTGTAAGCGGCTTCTTATATTTCTGTGGATCTTATATTATTTGCTAGCTGTTGCTGCCCTTATGTGACAAATAATTTTTGACTGTATCACACAACAATGAGAACACTTAGGACAATAATAACAATAGGAACACACACTAGCAATAATTCTGACAGTTATAGGCCATTTCTACAGGCTTTAAGATTATCAATACAAAAATAGTTATCTCACAATGTGACTGTTTCTGAAAATGCAGCAGACCAATGCTATAAACCAGTTTCTCCTACCAGTACGAAACATTTAAAAGTACAGTACATAATACTACACACTTAAAAATGTAAAAACAAAACATTAAAAAAAAAAACAGTATTGAGGGGGTTGTAGGATGACACTATTAAGGGTCACAGTTGCTCTCAGAAGCGGTGCTCAGTTCCTCGCACCATTTTTCGTAAGCTCTGTGCAGGATCTCATATGATGTGTTATTAAAAATTTCTGCAATAAAAAGAAGAGCAAAGCAAAATTTTTAAATATTTAGTACAAAAGACCAACTCAAACAGTTAATTCAGCAGCAAAAAATGTGAATCTTCCAGTTCCGCCTTTGTTGCAAATACATAAGCAATGACTTCTACTTCTTTCTGGAAGGAAAAAACGTGTTTTGTAGCAGTGACAAGTACATTTAAGTCAAGCAACAGGATCCATACCTGCTTCCCCGAGACCTACAGGGAGAGGCATTCTGACCAGGCCACCAGAATGTTTCAGCCTGTCCTGCAGAGAATTCTGTATGAGCTCCATAGTAAACTCTTGATGCCAGACAGGAAGCTCCAGGCTCACCATGCAGCTGATGATCCTCTGCTTCTCCTCTTCTGTCAATAGACCACTCTCTTTGGACACATAAACCATATAGGACATATCTATGTTCACTGCCTCACCGTGAAGCAGAGACGGGAGAACTTTCTGGATGGGGAAGAGAAAGGTGAGATGATATCATTTGCAACCTGAATGAAAATGTGAAACCCTACACTTTTAAGATATCTGTGTGTGTGTATATATAATCTCAAAAGTGTTTAAAGCTCTACATAGCGTTAATGTATATTTTGCACATACTCCATAAATGTTATCAGCAAAAGATACAAAGGGTTCAGCTGTATTTGCCATTAGTGATCATTACCATCTCTAATGCTGGACTGATAAGATGGCCAAAGTCCACAAGTCTGTCGAGGTCATCCTCCCAAAGGTTTGGGGCAAGCTCCTCCAACATAGTCATAATAGCTATGCGAGTTGCCTGTGATGCAGCCTTTAAGGTGCTGCACCCATATACACTGTTATCAATTTGGAATTTAGTGTCCAATAGCATAGAGCCATGTTTCTCGAGAAGTTCGAAGAGGCCGCCGTGCTTCATCATAGCCATCTGCAAAGAACCGACAAAAATTGCATGGAGTTACTTCTGCTGTCGGGGTCACTCATCTTTAGTGACCTCTGGACTAGTTTCTCTGCTATAAATGGCACATGTGTGACTGTAGTACTTGACCTTTATGGCCCATGAGATTCGCACAAGTTGCTGGGGTTTTTTCAACGTACAGACTTTATCATAAATTAAATTTGCCGTACCTTTAAAATCTCTGCCAGCCCATTGGAGATATGTCGTCGGGAAACAGTCTGTATGAATGATAGATCAAGGAAGGTGGCAGCAGGTGGAATGTAGGCACCCAGCTTATTCTTGCAGTTTGCAAAGTTAACCCCTGTCTTTGCCCCTACGCTGGCATCGATGTAGGAGAGCAGTGTGGTTGGGACTCTGATGTAAGGAGTGCGCCTCCTGTAGAGTGAGGCAGCAAAGCCCACTATGTCAAGGCACACGCCTCCACCAATGGCAATGATGGGCTCTGTTCGTCGGTCAAGAGAGAAGTTGTTGACCTCATCTAAGATCTTCAGGGCCGTCTCCATAGATTTGTTCTCCTCAGTGGTGGGTAGAGCCAAGATCTTGTAAGAGACATTGTTGGCCTCTAAATATTCAGTTAGCTTGGAGCCATAGATTTGAAAGACTGCCTGGTCAACCACCACAAAGCGTCTGATTGGCTTGTTTGATTTTTTAATGTCCTCTAGCTGCTGAGGGTCATTGATGTGGCCCAGAAGGAGGGTGTCGTTGCCTGGGTCCAGCAAGCCCTGAGTTTCAGTTACCTTGTAAGTAAAGACAATGGGACTGATAACTGTCCAGGTTGTACCCTTCTCTGTGACATTTTCACAGCTGCCAGACAAGACAAAAAAGTATTTATTATAATCACAGGACACTACGATGACCTTTGGTCTGTATTTAGGCTGAGATTAAAAAGACTGTAAGTTAATAACAGTTAACAGTAACAATTAAAGTATTTCTGAACAGAGACGTCATCTACCTGTCCATCGTCTTGGTCTAACCTCACAATTATGCAAGATTAAAAACAATAAATAGCTTCTTTATTAGACAGAGGTGTCATCTGAGCCTCATTTAACCGCATTCTTTCGTATTATGTCAGGATACAAACAGTTTAAAGCACTAAAACGCTCGTCTTCAAAATGCTTGATGTTGTACTTATCAATAAAAAAACTGTGTTATGTAATCATATGTAATGCATTATTACAGAAAAAGACTGTAGTGTTACATTTCAAACTGATGTGACTTAAAGCAAAGAAAAATGGGTTTTTTGAATTGCAGCCAAAAGCAGCTAACCTCTGGCTAAATCCCACTTCCTGAAAAATACCAGTGGCACTTTCTGCCATTAGAAAAGACTAAATAATGCAGAAATTATAATTTAACTCGGCAATATTTGCAAATATCAGATTACTACTATCAAACTAACTAAGTGATAATTTGCAGTGTATAATTTACTGAGAAGAGCATTAGACTGAAGAAAATGAAAGAAATTTGCAAACAAAAAGAGGGCAGTCGTAAAATACGATTAAAGGTTTAGCACAGTTTTCCCTGTGATTTCTGTAAATTAGACTACGGTGTGTGTACTCACATTTTTGCAGCCGAGACACTGTCCACTCTGTCCTTATTGATCTTTTTTCCCAGTTGGCCCTTCCATGTACTTTTGACCCGTACTAAACTAAACTCAGTTGTCTTTTCTTTGGCATCTTTTTCCTCTGGTTGAACTTTTCCCATTCTTGTAGGCTGTAAGTTACAGGTGTGAACAAAGCAAGTGACAAGTTCATCCTGCCTTAGGAGCCTTTAGATATAGCAGTGTTTAGAGAATGCCCTTAGGACAAGGGAGGAGCTTTTTGAGATGCTTCACATGTCAATGCACGCATTTTGCGTAACTCTGAGGTAACACCTGCTTTTTGAATAAAGTATGACATTACTTAACTGCATGTATAACAGTTTGACCACAATAAATACATGCAGCAGTTGAACAGTTTTGGAATATGCACACTTTTTTGCTCCTGTTGGTGAAGGTGCAGTTTTTGTTGGGTTTTTATTTTTTTCAAACCACACTTTGAAAAACAGTCATGTGGTAACAAGGACATTTTTCAAAACAGGTTTGACTGACTTCAAGGTTAAGTTTTAAGGCATCAAACAACACGGCACTGGCATTGAATATGTTAGACTGAGAACACTGATTAAGTATTAATGTTTTTTTCTTAATCTAATTAACAACATTGTAAAACACAACCTGACTTATTCTGTAAACACTAATTACAGGATACACAGAAGTACAAATACAACGAGAAAAGAATCCAAAACGTTGAGATTGGAAGGATTTACAAGCTCACCAAAACCCGCTCAGTTCTAATCTTCTTCCTGTCAGGAATATTCTATGTATCTGATGGTTAAAATGGAGAAAGAAGTCCTGGAAAGAGGCATTGCTTTGCAACTTAACATGGAGTAAGAATAGCGTAAGCTCACAGCCATGTTAGATATTTTGACAATACACCAGGACAAAATGAATACAGCAAGTGCTACATGCACTTCAAGGAAATCCTTTATAAACACAACTGCTCAACAGCAAATAAGGAAACTAATATTCAGCATGTGAAACTTGACTTTCTAACCCCAACATGTTGCTGCATGATAGAAATCTGTGTATTGGATTCCAAAAAAAACCCAACCTGGCACTTCCTAGTGCGATATTATTTGAGCTATATTTGAAAATTCTATTTCATAGGACTGTTGTTACGTTTTATAGTTCATGTTATTGTTGAACACCTTTAATGTCCATGTCAACCTTTCAAGCAGCAGAACAGGAAACACACAACTGAGTGAGTGAACCAAAAAAGACTGCATTTGATGTACAGTACCTTGACACATACACTAGTCAATCCTGCAACTAAAACTTCCCTACCCCCATTAAACTGAGAGGCTTGCCTAACTGTAGTCATGTAAACCCAATGGTTTCCTTGATAATAAATGGCTTGACCACTTAACCACTTAAAGTTCTTTTCGATTTTAATTTGACTGGATCAAGTAAAGCAAGGCTAAGACGTGATGCATGCTCAGTGATCCCACACAGTTGATTCTGTTGATCTGTTTGGAGCGTTTTCAGTGAGAGAAACATTTTGTCACTCATCCAAGTGACTTCTCAGTCTTCAGTGAGACTGACAAAGAAAATGCTACGTCCATGAACAGACTCAACTTTTTGCTGTGATATTTCGTGTGCTTTTGGCAGGTCAAAAACTGAAGATGCTAATCCACCTGAGTCAAGCACAGAGGGTCCTAGAGATGGGGATGTTCACTGGCTATAGAGCTCTGGCCATGGCTCTCCACATGGAAAAAAAATCGCTGTCAAGACTGAAAATGCAATCAAGGTGCTAAAGGTGAGTTAAAATCAGAGAATTTGATGAACTCTGAAGATGCATTGGGTCCTTTTTGGATATTAAGAATACCTTTGTGATGGGTCTCATCCTTTCCACAATCAGAACAGGCTCATATTTGTAAACACTGGTTTACAAAGACATGTCAAGTTAACACTGACTTTTTTTTTCAATAAGTGAACAACTGGGTCACGTGGTCAGTTTTGTAATAATCCCTTTCAAGCTGTTGCAGATGAGCAGTTTGACGAGGCCTGAAAAGAATACCACAAAGAAGAGACTAATCAGCAACAACAATTTTCTGTGATTATGCAGGTTATAGGTATCGATAACTATTTATCTTAGAATAGGGCTTTATGAGTTCAACCAGTTTATCTCTAATGATCCGTGAGTTGAGAGGATATGTTTTTAAGCTGCAATCAGTTGTTTTTTTACACTTCTTTTATTTTAACTATGCACTCTTGTTTAAAAGATTATCGTTCATTTTAAGATGGCTTCAGTCTTTTCTGCTGTGTATCTGTGGCTTTCGAAACAGGTGCTCCATGGCCACTATAATCAAACAAACAAAAAGCACAGAGCAGGCTAAATCTAAATAAAATCGGTACAAAGGCAAGATAAGCATTGTTGAAAATAAAAGATACACTTACTCTTTGGTGTTTTTAAGTGTATGCAATGCTAAAAACCTGTGAGAGAGATATTTTACTTTGATGCTTTTAGCAACAGGAAACTCACGTATCACACTTTTGCTGGCACTGAGTTGCTTAAAAGTTTTATTACAATTAAAATTTCTCACCCCTGGATTGCTAGAACTCACTTTTCACTAAGAAAAGCATGCGATCATATCTGAGACTTTATTCAGCAGTTGACCTATTTGATCATAAGATGTGGGCCTTCTGTGGTTTCTTATTTTAAATGCAGAGGCAACCATGGTTAGAGTTTATAGCATTACTACAGAACAGTATTCACTCCTCTGCTTGTATGTATGCACGCATGTAGAAATGCATGTAAAAGCTTTTGCTTAAATGTGCAATTGTGTGTAGTATTTGTTGGGGTATGCACTTCCTGTTGTGATCAATATTTATACAAATAGTGCTTTCACAGCAGTGTGATTCCAAAGTACAGCCCTTCATCACTGGGTGTGGGCAGCGCCATGAGTAAAACCAGTTGACTTGGATCCACTGCAATAATGAATGAGTTTTGCTATTTATTGGTATTGTAGTGCTCTTTCTCAAAAAGCAAAAAGCAATAACCAGCAAATTAAAAAAAAAAAATTAGAACAAAAAAACTGAAAGGAAGTACCTCGCAAGAAGAATGCAGCAGTCATAGATTTCCATTGTATTAAAAAGTATAAAAAAACCAGTTCCCAAAAGAGATCCTGGAACGACGCAGGGTCCTCTTCCCAATCCGACCCGGCTTCTTCCAGAACGACTCCCGCGCTGTCATCGCTGTGGACCGGCTCTACGTGGATGGACAGCTTTACTGCGACCCCGGCATCACTCCGTGGCTGTATTAACTTCACACCAGATAAGAATCAGATACACCCTTTTCATATCCACTCACACTAACTTGCATTAACATCTGTTTAACTTACCGGTATCATATCGCATCTTAAGTGTGATATCATAGCAGAATTTACACCGTCACTCTCCGTCAATGGATTGATTGGAATGTTTCCGGGGGGGGGGGGGTTCTCTTATCGTTTTTTTTTTCTTTTTCCCCCTCTTGTTTTTATGCTGCTCACCCTTGTCCTTGGTTTCTTTCTTTTTTATTTTCTTTCACTGCTTCGATCACCTGCTTCCAGACTCATCCACAAACAACATCCTTTATTTTGACATTATACGCACAGCACGATCACGCACAATCATGCGCTCAACGGCAGCACATTTACATCAGTCAGACAGCGCACACAGACGTACAGGATACACACACTTAAGCCAAGCCTACTCATATTAGTAAATATGCACACACATAGTCAAACTCAGGGAGCATCTCGCCACACATTTTTTCTCTCTCTCCTTCTCTTTATTTATGAACAAGTGATGTATTCTCTCCACCTTCAGGGAAAGCAGGGAAAGCTGTGATGAGAGGTAAAATAATCTCTTTCTCATCAAATAAAAAGAAAGAAGAAAACAAAAATATTCAGGAATTAGAAAAAAACATCAAATCACTAGAAGAAGCCTACGTGTCCCACCAAGATCAGGAAACATTGAACAAAATACGCAAAACAAAACTAGAATTAAATGAGATAATTGATAAAAAAAAACAAAATTCTTAGTACAAAGACTACGCTACAAAATTATGAACATGGTAATAAATCCGGTCAATTTCTAGCAAACCAGCTAAAAATAAATAAAGAAAAAACAACTATATGTGCTGTTCAAGATTCATCTGGGAACACAATATATGATCCGATACAAATAAACAACATTTTCAGGGATTTCTATAAAACGTTGTATTCACCACAAATAAACCATCTAAAAAGGAAATTGATCAGTTTTTAGACAACATATCTCTTCCAAAATTATTAGACACTCAAGAAATGGCACTGGATTCACCACATTAATCTCCTGCTAAAACCAGGCAAAGACCCTTTATATCCCTCAAGCTATCCCTTATAAATGTAGACCTTAAAATAATCTGCAAAGCTCTCTCAAAGAGACTGGAGAAAATAACCCCCCTCTTAATTCATCCTGACCAAACTGGTTTCATAAAAGGTAGGCACTCATCAACAAATACACGTAGATTACTTAATTTGATAGACTACTCATACAGTAAAAACTAGAAACTACAATATTTCTTTAGAGCAGAAAAAGCATTTGACAGAGTTAACTGGAAATTTCTATTTGCAACTTTACACAAATTTGGTTTTGGATCCTCTTTCATATAACTGGTTAAAAATATATATAATTCCCCAACAGCTTGTGTTCAGAACAAATGACCAGACATCCTCCAGCTTCTGTCTCTGAGGGGCACCAGGCAGGGATGCCCACTCTCCCCTTCACTGTTTGCAATTTTTATTGAACCACTAGCAGCAGCAATTAGACAGAATTCAGTAATTAAGGGCATAAAATGCAAGAACGTGGAACATAAAATCAGCCTTTATGCGATGATGTGTTACTTTTTCTCCAAAATCTCACAAACCAATATCTCTGGGGTGATTGAATTGATAAACTCTTTTGCAAGAATATCAGATTACTCAATTAACTGGTCAAAATCTACAGTCCTACCGATTAATTGCTCCTTCCATAATTCCTCTTCTACACCACTGCAATCGGGAAATATAAAATATTTAGGTATTAATGTTTCTCCCAAGCTTGCAGATCTAACTAAATTAAACCATATCCCACTTTTAAAGAAGGTAGAAGATGATCTGGCTAGATGGAAATGTCTACCCATATCACTCATGGGAAGGGTTGCCGCTATAAAAATGATG